TTTTATATTCGTGGGTTGATTGAGGGATCGAGAAGGACCTTTTCCTGGCAGTCAGTGTGACCCTCTGAACTCAGGCCCATGATGTAATGCCCTGTGGACTCTGGGGGGAGGTGATGCTGGGATGGCCGCTTTCCAGCAGGATACCCCTGGGATAGAGCTTCAGTGTTTGTCTTTGGGTGGCTAATGGGATTACCTGCATGGCGCCTAAGATAAAGTCCCTGACCAGTAGGAGACTCAAAATAAGTCTCTTATCTCGTCAATACTAATATCACGGCTCCTGTCATCTTTGTAATTAATCTCACCGTAATGAATCAGTAAATGACCTTATGTAGCGCTTCTGTTTCAGCAGATATTTCCCATCCTACCAAAAAGATTTGGTTTGAGACAGCAGGCAAGGCACTTGCCTTGCACGTAGGTGACCCAAGTTTGATCCCTGGCACTTCTGAGCCCACCAGGAATGATCCCTAAGCACAGAACTAGGAAAAATCTGTGTGCACCGCTGGCTGTGGTCCCAAAAGACAAAAGATTTGGATTTCTTTTAACAAGATCAGGCAAAAGTTTAGTATTGTACAAATTCTGGCTGGATTTTACACTTCAACAAATTTGAAATAAGAATAATCTTTCTGATGTGAGCTGAAAGTAAAGGACAAACATGAAGGTCTCTTAGTTTCTCTGTTGCAAACCATAATGTCCAAAAATAGAGAGAGGAAGAAGATAGCCTGCCTTAGAGGCAGTGGGTAGGGTAGAGGTAGTGGGAGGGATACTGAGGACTTTGGTAGTGGAAAATGTACACTGGTGGAGGGGTGGATGTTCGATCGTTGTATGACTGAAACTCAGTTATGAAAGCTTTGTAACTATTTCGTGGTGATTCAGTTTAAAAAAAAAGAATGATCGCTCTGAGAGACAGTAGCGGACAGGACGTCTGCCTTCCAGATGACAGGGTCAGTTTCTGTCCTGACATCTGGTCTGGAGCCCTCAAGAAGTGATCCCTCAGCTCAGAGGCTGGAGTAAGACCTGAGAACTGCACAGGTGTGGCTTGCAAACCAAACCAAACAAAAAAATGGTCTGGGGCCAGGGTGGTGACTTGGTGAGCAGAGGAGCTGTGGGGAGTCCCGTTTCAGACCACCTAGTTCCCTGAGCTTAGCCAGGTATAGTGCCCCAGATTTAATTAACAAAAAAAAGGTTTTTTTTTAATACAAAAGAGGAACTCCTTTTCATCTACTCTTTTTTTTTTTATCTACTCTTTTTTTTTTTTGGACTGCATATTTTTTTTTCCTTTTTGGGTCACACCCAGCGATGCACAGGGGTTACTCCTGGCTCTTCACTCAAGAAGGTGCTCGGGGGACCATATGGGAGGCTGGGAATCAAACCCGGGTTGACTGCGTGCAAGGCAAAGGCCCTACCCGCTGTGCTATTGCTCCAGCCACCTTGGACTGCATTCTTGAGAAAGAATGTAACTGCAGGGCCAGAGAGAATGTAACTAATGTAACTGCAGGGCCAGAAAGAATATCAAAGAGAAGTAGCTGCATGTGGGAGTCCAAGGTCTGATCCCCCACACTGTGGGGTTCCCTCAGTACTGTTAGGGAGGCTCCCAACGCACTGAGCTAGGAGGGGCCCCAGCACTACCCAGTGTGGACCACTCCCCCCAAAAATGTTTTGTTTTAATAATTCCTGTGGTTGATTATAGTTTCAGCAGGAAAATGAATCAGTGGGAGGGGCTGTTTATGACAATACTTGACCATTGAGAGATAGAGTCAGAACAGCCTTGGCTGAAGGGTAAACTGAGGCCTCTCATGTCTCTACCTTCTACTTTGTGGTCCTCTCACTAGGACCTAATCATTCATCCATCCAAGTGTGATTTTCAAAAAGCAACAATAAAAAAATACAGATACATTCCCCATTCCCCCAGAGAATTAATCCTTGAGAAAACACACTTACAAGTGTCCTAGCGTGCATCAGAAGCGTGTGCTGGAGAAATAGTGCGGCAGGTAGGGAACTTGCTTTGCAGCAGCTGCCCTGGGCTCTATCCCTGGCACCCACGTGGTCTTCTGAGCTCTTCCAGGGGTTGTTCCTGAGCGCAGAGCCACCTTACCTTGTTTTTAACTGTTACATCATTTTCACTAACATCCAGCAAACCTTTATTGTTATCTCTCTGTCTGAGGGCTATAGAGACAAAGATCTGTTTCCTCAAGGAATTCCTAAGCTAATGTGGGAAGCTAATGTTCAAAGTAAAAAATGACAGTGCCTGGGGGAAAAGGTTTGTCACCTCCCTGGCTCCAGACCATGCTTGTCCAGCTACCATGGCCCTTCCTCCTTGTGAAAATACAACTCTAGGGAGCCCGGGGCTCCAGGTTTTAGTAAGAGTCTTGATAGGTTCACCCGGAGCGAGCGTGACCCATGACAGAGTCAGGGCGGGATGGGAGAGATGGTTGAGTGGAAAGAGGGGTCGTCTTTCCTGTCCTACCCCACACACTGCCAGAGGATGACCTGACATAGTGAAGCAGACCTCGGGGCTCGGAAGTGACCCCTTGGAAGTCAGTTTCTTTCCAGGGGCTAAAGAGATAATACAGCAGGGAAGGTGCTTTGCCTGACTGAAAGCTGACCCAGGTTCAATCTCTGGCATCTGAGCCCTGCCAGAAGTGATCCCTGAGCACAGAGCCAGGAGTAAACTCTGAGCACTTCCAGGCCTCCTAAATAAACTAGAACAATTTTTTTAAAGCATATTTTATTTCCAAATGAATAGAGCAGGGGAGAGCTTCCTGAAACCTTTGGTGGTCTAGAATTGAGCTCTATCTATGCCGTGCTGCCTTTTCTGGGTGGCAGGGGGAGCCAGGCCTCTTTGAGGACACCTAAGCCTCCTCTGCGGTGCCTGAGCGGTTGACCTGGTGACATCCATCTCCCTGCCCTGCTCTTCTCCACAGTCCCATTCACCCCATCTCCATGGTCACTAGTGCTTTGTTCCCTGAGAATCTCCAGATTTTTGATTCTGCAGTAGAACCTCCTGGCAGAGCCTCACTGCTCGGTGTCGTCATTTCAGGCCCCTATCCTGCTGGACGCAATGCAGCAAATAGTCAGTGATTATGTACTAATATAAAGAGTGCCGGGGGCTGGAGCGATAGCACAGTGGGTAGGGCGTTTGCCTTGCACGCGGCCGACCCAAGTTCGATTCCCAGCATCATCCCATATGGTCCCCTGAGCACCGCCAGGAGTAATTCCTGAGTGTAGAGCCAGGAGTAACCCCTGTGCATTGCTGGGTGTGACCCAAAAAGCAAAAAAAAAAAAAAAAGAAGAGTGTTGCATGAGCACATACTCCTCCTGGAAGGGGTGAAAGCATCTGGGCGGGGATTCTCCTGAAGTGTCAATCTTGGCTGCACATTGGGGCCCCTGGGGCACCCTGAGACCTCCCAGTGCTCAGCCACACTCCATACCAGTGACTTCATAGCCCGGGTCTAGGGCCAGTGTGTTCCAAGCTCCCATTTCAAAGTCCACCATGTTGTTGAGCGTAAGAGCCACTGCTCTAAAGAAAACCGGAGTTGGAAGACTGCAGGAACCAAGCACTGAGCAGGACCCTTAGCCCCCTGGGGACATGGATGTCCACATCTGAGGTATGGGCAGAGGGGTGGAATGAAGATCAGCCTCTGGTGTAACCCTGGGACTAGCTGAGTTCAGTTTAATTGCTGGGGCATTGAGAAGGCAGAGACAGGACAGTGGGTAAGGCCCTCGCTTTGCAAGCGGCTAACCCTGGTTTGAACCCCAACACCCCATTTGGTCCCCCAGCCTTGCTAGGAGTGATCCCTGAGTGCAGATCCATGAGTAAGCCCTGAGCACTGCTGGGGGTAGCCCCCAAACCAAAATGAATAGAATAAAGAAAGACCACTGGGCGCATATGCTGCCTGAGCCTATGTGCTGCTTGTGCCCGCGTAGCCGAGCACATGTGTCACCCGCATCTCCCCTCTTGAGATGTGGACTTTCATGCTTTCGTGTCTAACGCTGGGATGTGTGTAGGGGCTCTCTCTGCCCTTGGAGAAACCTGCGTTCTCTCATGAACGCGTTACTCTCTCTTCCACCCTCTCCCTCCATGCCATAAAACCCTCCAAATAAAATCTGTTTGATATACCAAACACAGTAACAAGTCTCACAATGTTACTGGGCCTGCTCGAGCAAATCGGTGAACAATGGGAGGACAGTGATACAGTGATACTTAAAAAAAAAAAAAAGTAAAAAAAGAAAAAGACCATAGACTTGGGGAGGACTGGTCTGTAAGAAATGATGCCTCTCATGGAAAGGGGTCCCCAAAGATAAACCTGGAGGGATACCTTCCAAACTCAGTCTACACAGACTGTCCCCACCCTATAGGATGGGGTTCCTTTCCTGGCCCCCATCTTCCTTATATAGCCCAAATCCTCTGCACCCCTAATTCCCCTCCTGCCTTTCAATTCCCTCAGCCCACACCCACTGGGCATTCATCTCCCTCCTGGTTTGTGGCTTCTTGCCATGGTTCCATAATCGAACTCTGCTATGGCAGACGGCCCTTTGCCCATCTCTCCCCTTTGGTTTAGTAAAGCCCTCCCTACCCCAGCTTTCCTAAGTACCGCAGCCCACACCACTTCCTGCTGGACTGGACTCCTTCCGTTTGTGCTCGTCAGGCTCCTGGGGTGAAGAGGTGCAGGCAGAGGGGGATGAGGGTGGCAGCCTGAGACCCCAGAGCCTCACCATCAGGAGTTCTGCCCTGAGCAGAACCCCAAGGATCCTCGGAGGTTTTCAGGCTTGTGTTCTGATGGCCGGAAGCTCCCCCGAGGCTGCAGGCATCCCTTCACCCCCCATAGTTGCGAGGCGCTCTTTGCTGTCTGGGAAATTGCTCTCCTCTACTTGATCTTGAAGTGAAAGCACATTGTGAAGGTTTTGTGTGTATGTTTTGGGGGCACAGATGAAGTGGAATTTGCTGAAGCGGGTCAGATTCTAGGTGGGGGCTCACATCGGTTCTGCTGTCCCATTTCCAGACTGTGTGTCCTGATGGTGTCCCTGGCCAGCTTGGTTGCTGCCTTCCTGACCGCCGCCATCCGCCACGCACAGACGTCTCCCAGCGGAAATGCCTCGCCAGGTTCCATTCCTCTGAGCAGTGAAGTGAGGCGGCCTCATGGACAGAAGCCCTGAAGGTAACGTGGGCGGCGTGGAGTGTGCTGAGGACAGGGCCAGGCTGCCACTTCTTACCACTCCTGTTATCACAGGGTCACACAGAACTCCCTCAGGGAAACAGGATTACGAGGACAGTCAGTTCCCACTCTGAAACTCCAGACATTCCCGTAGAGCCACGGAAGCCCCTAAAGGGACCCTCGGTGCGTCCCGCCTCCCAGCCTGTGTCTGGCTCCAGAGGGAGCTGCCCGGGTGGCACCAGTGCTTCCTCTCACTGGTTCAGCTCACGCTCTCCCTCGACCAGCCAGTCTCGGCCAGAGTTCTCTCCACTGGAATTCATTAAATCAGTTCCCTCACAGTGAGATTCAGTTTTCTAAGGACTAAAAATGTTAAAGATGAGACCTCATCATTTTTTTAAGATTAAAGGATTATAAACTTAAAAAAATAGTTTCTGAGAAACAGTTATTGGTTATTGTTAACTTTCAGAATGATTCAAGTTTCTAGTGACCTGGTCACATTCTTTGGAGGCGTACCAGCATGGTTTTCGGTCAGCAACTTAAACTTTGAGCCACTCCTAGCCCAGGCCCAAATGTTCCGGCTGCTCACGTGCTTCCCTAATGCTTCTGTCCTGGAAATTCCGCCAACAGTCAGGACAGACAGACAGTCTACAGATTCACAGATTCTTGCTGTTTCTGGAACTGGCGTGTGTGTGTGTGTGTGTGTGTGTGTGTGTGTGTGTGTGTGTGTGTGTGTGTGAATGTGAGTGAGCATTTCTGTCAATGTGAGCAGGTATGAGTATGTGAATATGTTTGTGAATGTGAGTATATGTTTGAGCATGTATGAATGAATATATATGAATGGGTTTGTATGTAGATATGTGTGAATGTGAACATATATGAAAATATGTGAATGTGAGCGTATATGAGTATGAATATGTGCATGTGGGTATAAATATATGAACGTGTGCATATGAGAATAAGTGTGTGAATGTGAGCATGTGTGTGAATGCGTGTGAACACAAATAAATGGATGAATGTGTGAATGTGAACATGTGTGAGTGTGTGAATATGAATGTGCATGAATGAGTATCAGTATGCATGAACGTGAGCGTGTATGAGTGTGTGAGTATGTGTGAGTGTGTGCATGTTTGTGTGTCTCTTCTCATTCTTCCTTTGCAGCCGCCTGACTTGGGTGTCAGCTATTCAGCACCTTCTCACATAATCTGCCCAGAATCCCAGCAGCAATTCCACTGCCAGATCTGAACTCCCTAATCTCTGTGATCCCTGCTGGGTGGGGGGACCAGGGCTGTGCTGAGGAGGAGGGATTGGAGTGAGTCGACCGCATGTGACTAAGGGTGCAGTCAGGGAGGCAGAAAGAGCCAGAGCTGACAGCTGCTAAAACAGCTCCCAACTGAACGGGGAAATGGAGGCGTGTGCTTTCTCTGCACACACAGGGTCGGTTTTTCCTCACTCACTTGCAGATGACAGCCAGTCTGAGGGTTCGCTCAGGCTGGTGGCCTGCGGAGCTCATGGATCAAACAGCCTTGTAACGGGAGGTCTTGTTCTTCTTTCTTTATCCAGAACTCTCCGGGGAGAAGTGAGTATGGTTTTTACTCACAGAATGGACGCCCAAAAGCTGCCTCTGGTCCTTCCCACGGTCCTGGGGCCCCTCCCCAACCACAGCTGCACGGAGCCTGCTGTGCCCCAGCCAAGCCAGGACCTGGGGGCGCTGCAGGAGGAGCCGGGCTGGGGGGCCAATGGTACCGACACGCATCTCCGCCTGCAGCCCGGCGAAGTGGCCACTGCCAGCGTTTTTTTCGGGACCCTATGGCTGTTTTCCATCTTTGGCAACTCCCTGGTTTGCTTGGTCATCCACCGGAGCCGGAGGACGCAGTCCACCACCAACTACTTCGTGGTGTCCATGGCGTGTGCCGATTTGCTCATCAGCGTGGCCAGCACGCCCTTTGTCCTGCTACAGTTTGCTACGGGCCGGTGGAGCCTGGGCAGCGCCATGTGCAAAGTCGTGCGCTACTTCCAGTATCTCACACCGGGCGTGCAGATCTACGTGCTCCTGTCCATCTGCATCGACCGTTTCTACACCATCGTCTACCCGCTGAGCTTCAAGGTGTCCCGAGAGAAGGCCAAGAAGATGATCGCGGCCTCGTGGATCTTTGAGGCCGCCTTTGTCACCCCTGTGTTCTTTTTCTACGGCTCCAGCTGGGACCACCATTGCAACTATTTCCTCCCTTCCTCCTGGGAAGGCACCGCCTATACCGTCCTCCACTTTCTGGTGGGTTATGTGATCCCGACCGTCCTCATCATCTTGTTCTACCAGAAGGTCGTCAAGTATATCTGGAGAATCGGCGCTGATGGCCGCACTGTGAGGAGGACGATGAACATTGTCCCGAGGACAAAGGTGAAAACGATTAAGATGTTCCTCATTCTAAACCTGCTCTTTCTGCTCTCTTGGCTGCCTTTCCACATCGCCCAGCTCTGGCACCCGCCTGAACGGGACTATCAGAAAAGTTCCCTGGTTTTCACAGCGATCACGTGGATATCGTTCAGTTCCTCTGCCTCGAAACCGACTCTGTATTCAATTTACAATGCCAATTTCAGGCGAGGAATGAAGGAGACCTTTTGCATGTCATCTATGAAATGCTACCGAAGCAATGCCTATACCATCACGACCAGTTCCAGGATGGCCAAAAAAAACTATGTGGGCATTTCAGAAATGCCTCCCACGGCCAAAATTATAACCAAAGACTCCATCTATGATTCATTTGACAGAGAAGCCAAGGAAAAAAAACTGGCTTGGCCCATTAACTCAAATCCGCCAAATACTTTTGTCTAAGTTCTTGGAATTCTTTGAATCACTGTTAATGTGCCAGAGATTAAAAAGCTTTATGTATAAAAACCGAAGTTGTTTATTCAATCAAACGAGGGCGATGTTTATTTTGTAAAGATGCCTTCATGTATTGATCTTGCTTTGTGGGTTTTATATGAGCTGCTTTTTGTTTGGTGGCGGGGAGGATTCACCCAGAGCTCTAGTCAACAGCCTTTTCATTGTTTTGTTCCGAAAGAGAGAAAGCTTTCCTGCTGCTGATTTTCCATTAGGTCAAAACCCCTAAGTTGAACATGGTCTGATTAGTGATTCACCCTAGTTTTCTTTTTTTTTTTTTTTTTTTTTTTTTTTTTTTTGCTTTTTGGGTCACACCCAGAGATGCACAGGGGTTACTCCTAGCTCTGTACTCAGGAATTATTCCTGGTGGTGCTCGGGGGACCATATGGGATGCTGTGAATCGAACCCGGGTTGGCCACGTGCAAGGCAAACACCCTATCCTCTGTGCTATCGCTCCAGCTCCTCACCCTAGTTTTCTTGCCTCTTATTTTCTACTCCTCCCTGGCAGCTTAGGGCTGTGTGTTTCTGTTTGAGGGAGGTCCTCTGGGTCACAATTTCAGAGACTTGCAGATCTTTACCGAGCTGCTCCTAGGAAAGTTAACTGTATGTATACGTTGTTCTGGTTTCTTATTTTGGGCGGCTGGGTCCCATGCAATGCTCAGGAGGCCCAGGGTCCCCACTGGTTGTTCTCAGCCAACCTGGGCCCAGTGCTGCTCAGGCCCTGCATGCTGTGGGCCACCCCTACAGTTCTCGGGGCCTCCAGGCTTCCACCTAGTGGTTCTGGGGGACCTTGTGCCAGGCACGTGCCCTCACTACTACATTATCTCCAGGCTCCAGTCTGTTGTTGGCTTGTTTTGCATTTTTTGGGGGGTAAATTCAGGGCTTATTCCTGGCTCTGTGCTCAGGGATCACTCCTGACAGTGCTGAGGGAACCACAAGGAGTGCCAGAGATCGAACTCGGTGGAATGTGTGCAAGGCTATCGCCCGACCCACTGTACTACCTTTCTGGCCCTGTAAGTCTGTTTTTCACATCAACCTTCCCAGTCTCCCTGTTTAGACCGGCTATGGAAAGTATTTTGTATGATTTCCATAGACTATTCTGGAACTTGCTAGGCAGCAAGTTCTGTGATTGTTTTGGTTTTGGTTGGGGGCTCCACCTGGTGGAGCTCAGGACATCATGCAGTGCCCCAGCTCTGGACTCCTGTTTGCAAAGCCTGTGCCCCAGCCTGAGCCTTTAAGATTAAATCGTAATCGGGTTTCTTTGGGAAAGGGTGTGAGGGTGTGAGAGATGTGCCTTTTCTCTCCCGTCTCTCACACATCATCTCTCATCCCATCTCTTTTTTTCTCCTGCCCATCACCCCCCACCAAAGCAGCATGTGGGACATTCACTGCATCCCTTCTTGATGCCAAACTTGGCTGACAAGCAGGTGTCCTGGGCCAGCCCCCAGAATGCCTACGGGAATGTGACAGATGGGCTGTCTGTGCAGGTGACCTCTCTAATCCCAGCAGCTCTCTTGGCCCTGCCCTGAGCTATAACTCAGGTGACCGGGCCAGCGAGAATCTTTCTCCCAGGGAGTCAACACGTGTCTCCCGTGTGGAGTTTCTAGCATTGGGTGGGTGACCCCCACCTCTTCATACTGCGATGACTCAGGTCTGGCGCCTGTACTTCCAGGTCCCCTATTGCCAACGTTGGATGAGCACACCCCCAAAATATTTTAGACAGGAAAGGGCTACAGCCAAAGTGGGCGTGCGTTTCATCTCCAAGTTGACAAGAGCTGCAGGTGGTAATTCTGGTTTTTCGGCTTGTTTGTTGCATTTCCTCAGTGGATCCCCTCAGCCTCTCTGAGGCATCTATTCTCACCTCTGGTTTAGAGCTGGGGATGCTGGACCCAGAGGAAGATGACTGACGGGGATGCCGCTCACTCTTGGGCTCCAACAGCCTGTCCGTTGCTCTTAATGCCACCATGTCTCTAGAAAACACTTGAGGGGCCAAACTTTCAGGCCTCGTGGGCCTCCTGCCCGAGATGGTTGTTCATCCCTCCCTTCTCTTGGCCTTTGCTGAACCTCTGAGATGGAGAAAGCTGCCTCTCTGCCTTCATCTCACAGACCCAAGTGAAGAACATGATGCGGGCCCGATATTTGGAACAACAGTGAGACATTTCATCCACAGAACAACTACAGAGCTGAGTTTTTAAAGTTAAGACCGTTCTTTCAGTCAAGTTTAAAAGATCGTTGTTTTCTCTTCTCCGCACATTCTTATTCCACAGTAAATGGCCCCTCAAGAGAGCAAACTAAATGGTTCTCTGACATAACCCTTGAAATTTTGTTTGAGAGTGGGGGTGGTGGTGCTTTGGGGTCACGCCTGGCAGTGCTCTGGAGACGGTATGTGGTGCCAGGGCTCAAACCCCCACTGACTGCGTGCAAGGCAAGCGGCTCACTCACTGTATTATCTCTTGACTCCTTCAATTTTGTGGGACAAACTTGTTTGAAAAAATAGAAACGATCCCTGCAATGATTTATTACATTTTCCCTTGTAAGTGAAATAAAGGTATGGGCTGAAGCGATAGCACAGCGGATAGGGCATTTGCCTTGCACGTGGCTGACCCGGGTTCGATTCCCAGCATCCCATATGGTCCCCTGAGCACCTCCAGGAGTAATTACTGAGTGTGTGAGCCAGGAGTAACCCTGTGCATCGCCGGGTGTGACACAAAAAGTGTAAAAAAGGGGCTGGAGCAATAGCACAGTGGGTAGGGTATTTGCCTTGCATGTGGCCGACCCAGGTTCGATTCCCAGCATCCCATATGGCCCCCTGAGCACCTCCAGGGTTAATTCCTGAGCACAGAGCCAGAAGTAACCCCTGTGTATTGCCAGGTGTGACCCCCCCAAGAAAAGCAAAAAAAAAAAAAGAATATAAATCTAGCATGGGCTGGAGTGATAGCACAACGGGAAGGGCGTATGCCTTGCACGCAGCCAACATGGGCGACCCGAGTTTGATTCCTCCACCCCTCTCGGAGAGCCCGTTAGGCTACCGAGAGTATCTTGCCCGCAAGGCAAAGCCTGATGTATTTGATACGCCAAACACAGTAACAAGTGTCACAATGGAGACGTTACTGGGCCCGCTTGAGCAAATCGATGAACGACGGGAGGACAGTGCTACAATGCTGTGTAAAGGTACGCAGCAATGCACACGCACATAGATGCAGACACATATTTAGGTTTGAGCTGAAACTTGAAGACTAGCATATGGATAAGCTCTGGGCTGTCTTGCAAAATGTTGATGCCGGCACGCACCACCGGTGGCTCACACTTGGAGGTGGCAAATCACAGCACTGCCCCTGTGGCACGGTCTGTGCATTTGCCCCGATGATCAAGTCCGGTGATCCGGACTCGTGGAGAGTGGTTTTGTAGAAAGTCTCACCAGGAATGGCAGCTGAGGCGCGGGCCAGCCTGAGAGCTCCTTGGCTCGCCGTCCTCCCTGTGGGGGAACTTACTGAGTCTTCAGCTCCGTTTCCCACCCCTGCTGCTGATGAAGACTGCAGTGAGGTACGGGCTGGCCAGGAGGCGGCTTGGCCTGAGTCAGCAGCGTGGCACTTGCCTGGCCGGGACCAGCTAAGTCCCAGCGGTGCAGGCTACTGGGCAGCGGGAGGCAGTTCCTGCTCCCCGGGCGCCCACATGGGCTCAGGACCCCAAGTTCATGTCGCCTCCCGCGGGAGTAGCAGGGTTTGGAGCAGACAGTGGTACCCGCTTCCAGCTCCCCACATGGTCAGAGGGATAGGTGCATCCTTGGGTGGGATTGGGGACCCCTCTCGAGCTCCGGCAAGACCACTGCTCCCACTGCTGCGGAGAAACAGTCCAAGTAACAAGAAGTCTTACAATTTGTTGTGAGATGTTACTGGTGCCCGCTTGAGCAAATCGATGAACAATGGGAGGACAGTGCTACAGTGCTACTGCACCCCTGCCTGCCAGAGGCCAGGCCTCACCACGAGTGCAGTTTTACCCAGGGCCTCTGGGCTGTCCACTGGGCACAACAGGCAAGTACAGCCAGCCAACACACACTGCGAGCATGCACAGAGCCATCCAACAGAGGAGAGGTTTTTCTTTTTGGTTTTGGGGCCACATCCGGCAAGGCTTGGGGGACATTCCTGGTGGCGCTGGAGATCAAGCCAGGGTTCCCAGCTGCCAAGCCCGTGCCCCAGTCCTTGGAGCGATCTCCTCGGCCCCATTACCTGCTCTGTGGAGCCACTGAGGTTCAGCACCGCCGAGGGAATCACCACAGCATTTACCTCGCCTGGGTACCATTCTGGGCATGCCGAGGAGCACCAAAGTGCTCGTGGAAAGTGCAGTTTCCTGTCTCAGTCTTAAGGACTATGTGCTGTGGAGGATGTTTCCATCTAATCCCACACCTATACTTACAGATGCATGCATACATATACGCACACTACCTGCGGACATGTATGGACACATACATCTTTATTAAGAGCTTTTTTTATTTGTTTGGGGAGGCCATATCTGGCAGTGCTCAGGACTTTGCACTCAGCAATCACTCCTGTCGGGTTGAGGGGACCATACGCGATGCCAGGAATCAGACCCGGGTCAGCCGCGTGCAAGGCAAACGTGCTACCTGCTGTACTATCTCTGACCTTTTATTTTATTTTTATTTATTTATTTTGCTTTTTGGGTCACACCCAGCAATGCTCAGGGGTTCCTCCTGGCTTTGCACTCAGGAATTACTCCTGTCAGTGCTTGGGGAACCATATGGAATGCCGAGGCTCGAACCTGGGTCGGCCGCATGCGAGGCAAACGCCCTACCCGCTGTGCTATCGCTCTGACCCCATCTCTGGCCTTTTAGACTTCGAATACACGGAAGTCAGTACCCTTTGGGAAAATAAAACTCACTTCGAAGGAATAGAACTGGGAGTGGGCAGAATTCCTTCACCAGGCTGGGCTCTCACTGAGGCTGTGCTTTTAAAACAGATGTCAGCGGAGCAAAGAATGAGACATCGGACA